CCCCCCCGGGGCAGTGCTACTGACTGAAGTGTCTCTAGGCCATTCCCAAAGTGAGGACTTTAACTTGTACTTATGCACAGTAGAATTGTAAATTGGCTGATTCAACAATGTCATGCTCATGAGTCATTACTATGTCTGAACTGCAACAGGGAACTGCTGCTTTTTCTTTCCTAATCCTTACTATCGTCATTTTTCCTCTACTTCTTTTGTATGTTTGTCACACTCTTGTGACCTGCTATTTCTGGGATGCCTTGATTGTCGAAGCAGACTTTGTGCTGTTGAAGTTAAAGAGGTGAGCAGAGTAAATCTGATTCCCTGTAAGGGCTTCTCTGTTGACATCCACCTCTTGGTGCTCGTATTACCTTATGCAGTTGCGAGCGCTGAAAAACCTCTACTAAAATACATTGGTATGAGTCAGCATTAAGCATAAGATTGTGTGCTTTGCTGTAGTGCATCTTTGATTGAGAGGCAACATAGTTTTTGATGTTTCAGCATGTGTGAGTTTGTCTATTCTTGTGGAATGAGTGGTTTGCTTTTATTCGAATGGATTTTGTACCTAATATAGGATGAGGGGGTAAACAATATTACCCGAGCTCGACACACACTCACAGACACACATACAGAATCTGTCTCTCCCTCTCTCTCTTTCTCTCTCTCACACACACACACACACACACACACTCACACACACACACACACACACACACACAGGCACACACCCTCACACAAACACACTTACAGACACAGACTCTCACACACACACTCACAGACACAGACTCTCTCTGTCTCTCACACACACACACACACACACACACACACACACACACACACACCATAGTCTTGTTTGAATGTGGGAAACCAAATAATAAAATCTGGGCCAAATTGACTTTTTTCTTTAGGTTCAATTTACGTGGAAAAGTCCAGACCTTTTTATTTTATTCTAGTATGGTTTTTCTATCTCAATAAAGAAGAGATGTATAAATGATCCGTTGCTGAAACCTGTCTGTTGGAACAGAAGTTCAACAGTTGTATTGTAAGATTTTTCAATTTGCGACAAAATAATTTTTTTTTTTAGGTAGCCTACATGTTTAAATATGTATTTGGTTTTTCAATTCAAACAACATGTGTTGTCTACTTTGTGACATTTACTCACTCAAAGCAAATTGTATAAATATGAAGTATTTCTGGTGGGTGGTTGGCAGGTGCTCTGGTGTCGTTTGCTCCTTCTAACCTATCAAACATCCATCGTCCTTATCTCCCCCTCCTTTTGTTTGTATGTTACTATTTAGTTACACCTCTAATCTTCAGCACTTTTATGACCTGATGGTGTTGCAAGTGCCATAAAACTCTTAACGAAAACTAAAAGTATTTTTCTGTCTTTCAATGTGGATGTATCCCACACTGCCTAAGTAAGTTGGCCTTGACTGGCAGGAATGAAGCATTTGCCTCCCTGATTTATGTGAAGGGTGTTGATGGAAGTATGAATATGTTTACAATCACATCGGTCATTTATAGTACAGCAAAATTCCATGTCCTTTAAAAAAAAAAATACTTAGAACTGTATCTGCATTGAGGTTACTCATACAATTTCTGCAGTCTGGACTACAAATTTATTTTCGAGTAATACAAGTATGTTTTGTGGGGTTTTTCCTAGTCAATACTCTACAAATTGTAGCAAATGGCTTTCTCTTGTCAGAAGCCCATGCACTGTGCCTTTTTTTTTCAATTTACTTTTAACAATTATAATTATTGATCACACTGATCACAAATTTGTTGCACGTTTTAGGGGGTTGTGCTCAAAATGCTTTACGGAAAAACTAACAAAATGTTCTTTTTATCTTTTTTTTTTTTTGGTTTTTTTTGCTTTAACTTTTTCTTTGGAGGTGTGGGAGGAACTACAGCTGTTTGTTGTTGTAAATACTACAT